CCAAATGTTATGGCCTTTATTATGGCCAAGTTTTTTTATATATAAATATATAACACAGGGGCTGGACACAGTTGGACAGAATTGCTTTGGTTTGCATGAGAGCAGCCAGGTGAGGAGCTGCTGCAGCGAGTGCAGTGCTGGACTGTGTGAATCCCGGCTGCTTGGGCTCATGGGAGCTGAATTTGATGTCTCGCATGAATTCCTGAAGAGAGGATAAGCCAAGGATATCTAAATCCTTTTCAAGGATTTTAATTTAAAGGATGGATTAAAACACTGGCTCTGAGTTACAAAAGACGAGTGCCATAAGCAATCACTAATAAGAGCTTCAAATCAAAGCAGCAATAATGCAGCTTGAAAAATTCTAGTTTTGTTCTGTGCTAAGAAGCAAGATTAATTTTTTGAAGGTCTTTTTTTTTTCCCATGCAGGATCCTGATTCACTTTCATGCACCTTCTGCTTCTGCCTGAGAAGAACAGCAGATTTATTCCTGGGTAAATTATTGTTTCCCCAGAACTTGGTGTTTTATCCTGTGTTCTCCCCAGATCATAAATGGTATTGGGAATCATCTGCAAGAAAGCAAACGACCAAAAGGGCTTGCTAGGGAAGCTGCAGCCCTCAGCTCCTGGCACAGATAAATGCAGTCTCTGCTGTCAAGGGAAACTTAGCTCACACCTGCACAGGAGATGTGGCAGAGCTGTCATCCCCCTCACTTGTCTCTGCAGGTATTCAGATCTGACTGTGTAGGAAGCTTTTTTAGGTTAAGGGTTAAAATATTCGGAGAAAAAAACAACCCGACTAATTAACATTGGCAGGCAAATTCCTGTTTCATTTGGATTCCGGGAGTTCCCTTTGCAGCTGCTGTGTTATGGCAGTTTAAACATGACAAGGGCTATTAGCAAAACTTCTTTTTTCTTTTTGCCAAGAAATAAATCTCTTTCTGTGACAGCCAAACGCGTTCCAGGTCAAACGCTCAGCTGGCAGGAATCAGCACTGCCCTGCCGAGTCCTGGGAAGTGCAGAAGGAGACCCTGCCCGGGCTCCCTGCCCTGCTCCTACGGGAATGTCAGTGACCTTGTGTGGGATTAGAAATAATGTTTGTTATAAAACTAGGAGAATCCTAGAAAATAATTTGTGGGAGAAAAGCTTTTAAGCAATGGCTTAGTTCCACCTCCTCTACAGTAAGGAGTTGGGTTTGACAGTCAGGATGTTGGCTTTTACAATTAAGATGAATGGGAACATTTGGTGCCAAATTTCACTTGGGAAAGTTTCCTGGGTGCTCCGGGCTGGTTCTTGCAGGGAAGCGAAGCCGGGCACAGCCCTGGATCCACCTCCTGTCTCATTTTGCTCCCTGGCTGAGGTTAGGGGCAGTGCTGCAGCGAGAAGCCCAGCTCCAGGGATGCACTATTTTGCTTTATGTCCCCATTTGTCCCCCAGCAGAGGTCAGAAATGTTGGCTGCCATGGTCAACCCAAGGAGCACCCATGGCAGCCACCCCCTGCCCCATCCTTGCTGCGGCTCTGCCTCAAACAACGCGAGCCCTGGCTCCCAGGGCTGGGACCAACCTCAGGGCGCCCAGAACAGCCACGGCAGGCCCAGACTTGGCCAAAGGCTTTGGTTTAGGTTAAGCCTGTCACCTCCAGAAACGGCTGGAAAGGGAACTGGAAGAAAGGCAAAGGCAGAGCTGGGTGTTTCGTTTGCTGCTGAGGGACAGGTCCATGCAGGTACCCGACGCATTCCCGCTGCAGTTGCATCAGATGCCTTTGCTTGCCCGGTGATGGCTCAGTGTCCCCTTCCAGTCGCAGGGTCAGTGCCTGGGAGGTGCCGGGACCCCCTCGCCCTTGGGCTTTGCTGATGCCAAAATCCCTGCTCCAACCTCCTTTAACCCCAGCAGCCAGTTGTAGTTTGCACACTGGCAGAAATAGGCAAATGCAGCAGAAAGGGCTTCATAGAGGGGACACGAATGGATCCAGACATTCATTCCTCCCACCAGTGCCTCCAGTCGAGGTAATTCTGCCCATCGGTCCAGCAGGAGCCTCCCAGGTGTAAATGCCCACGGCTGAGCCCGGCCGGATGGGGATCATCACCCTGCAGCCATGCTCCCCTCTGCTGCACTACGGGATGTGGGCTGCGGGGTTGGGTGACAGCCCATAAATCACCCTGGGAAGGAAGAGGTGGACCGGGAGGTGGCGTGGCTGACTCTTCCCACAAAGAGCTCCTCGATACCATCAAATGCTCGTCCTCCCGAGACGCCAGGCTTCCCCTATCGCGGCTCCGCACGCTGCTGCTGGTGAGCGGCTGACTCAGCCGATAACCAAAGGATTACGGCTCCTCGGAAAACGCAAGGTCAAAAGACACCAGGAAATTCAGAGCATAACCACCCCTAACAAAAGGCTGGGTACAGCCCCGATGCGGAGCACCGGTCCCTCCTGTCGCCATCCCTGCTCTGCCACCTCCTCAGATGAATGGATCTTTTCACCTTAAAGGCAGAGGTGACAGCTTAGGATTTCTTTTCAGCGTTCACGTAAACGAAAAAGAAATTTCCCTGCTTTCTCTTGCAGAACTGTGTCTGGAGATGGCTCATGGGGGGTCCTTTCACCTGAGATCATTTAGTGGCACCTCCAGGTTCAGTGACTGGAGTTTCAGGTTCAGTACAGGGTTTTTTAGAGAAGGCACACACCCCCATGTGTATAAACACACAACTCAGTTACATTTATAGAAATGTCCCAAAACAGAGAAGTCTCCCTCAGCTTCCCATTCCCAAACCCCCCAGCAGTGCAAACATGGGGCTGGGCTGGAGGTGAAGCCCTGGAGCAGGGGGAGAGGCTGCAGTGCCCACGGGCAGGGGTCTGCAGCCACCTCCTTCCTCATCCTGGGCTGGACCCATCCATCAGGTACATCATCCATCAGGTATAGCCATCCATTGCTCCTGCCCTGGGCTCCTGTTCACAAAGCCTCAGGGAGCAGAAGTATGTTAAAATTGGGAGTAATCCCTAAATGAGGGCAAAAGATAATTTATCTGTCTTGTGTCTTCCTCTTCATCATCTGACATGGTGATACGGGGAAGACAGAAAAACACAGAGTCCTTCAAGCACTTTTTGAAAGGTAAAAAAATAAACAAACCCCCTAATTTTCTCATCAAATTTCCAGAGGCTCCAGGCTCGCAAGCCACTCCAAGGTAATGCTGGTGAACTGTGCAAAAGTGCTGGAGTGGAGAGGTAGGACACAGAGAGCTTCTCGGACACCAACACCAAACGTTTCCCAAAGTGCTGCAAGTGTTCCTGCTGCGGGAAGCCGTTTGCTTCAGCCGCTGCAAATCCACCACATCCCTCAAATACCAGGAGTGGCGGCAGCCCCGCTTAACCTGTGGGAAGAGAACCACGGGCTTTAGGCTAGAGGGGGTCATTGGGGCTCATGCAGTCCTGAACTACGATTTGGGCTAGGCACCAAACTCTGGGCTTGTTCCAGTGTCTCTTGGGATAAGCCCTTCCCATCAAAAGCATCCAGACCTTTCCTACCCCCTCATTCACACTGGACATGCTGCAACAGCACAGTTGGTGCTATAGAAACAGGGCTGGGGTGAATCACCAATTTGTTTTTTTCTGTTGAAATCTGATGTGAAACTTTCTGACGTTTTGATATGTACATTCAAATGGTTGATTTGCATTAGGATCCTCAATAAAAAGGTTTCAGAGGCAGAAACCAAGGGGGTTTGGCAGCTTTCGGATGCTGCGTTTCGCACAGTTCATCCAGAAACAGAAAAGCATCCACTTCTCCGTGGCAGTCAGCAACTGCCAGTGCTGAGCAGCAGCGGAAAAGGCTGGAAAGAGGGTGTAGACGTGACATAGCATTTGCAGAAGATCATGCTTAAACTTCCAAGAAAGATCAACTCTGCTGCTGCCAGACCATGATGTAAACTTGGTGCTGTTAAACCCCTGTGGGAACCAGCGGCTGTGGTTGTGCTGCGCACCCGGCACAGATCCCCACGCCGAGCCCACCCAGACCCACCACGGCAAGAATCCGTGTCCCTGGGTGCCCTCACTCACCGCTCGATGATGCTGTTGTTGAACTGGAGGTCACAAGTTACTGCCCTCATCTGCTCCAGGAGCTCCTGCATCCTGCCAGGGACACAGCCAACCCTTACCCCACACCAGCTGAGCCAGCGGGGACACCCACAGGGTCACCGAGTGGGGTTGCAGTCAGCAGAGGAAAAGCAGCGCGAGGTCCTGCATCCCCTGGGGAGCGGGGCTGCCTGCAAACCCCTCTTCCAAAAGACTCACCGGAAAGCCAACTCCTGGCACGCCTGGCTCGGATGGACGGGTGAAGGCATGGGAGGAACCGGGGCCAAACTCTGTTTCGCCATCTGGAGAAACCTGTCCAGGGCCTGCAGAGATGGAGAGACGTGGCAGCCACCATGGCAGTGACGGGGGGGTGGTGGTCTGAGCCCTGGGACAGACCTGGGACACTTGGGGAAATGACACCTCCACGGTCACAGCCAGCACATCCCCTTCTTCAGGTCAAACAAAATAAAAGAGCCAAAGGACCAGGGCATCCACCATGTGGCTGTGCCAATAGTGCATCGTGGCAGCTGGAGGTGAAGCATCATTTTTCTACTCCTGCCATCCCTGTTTAATGGGTCCAGGCTCCCCGGTGCCAGGCAGCCCTCGGGACCAGGGGTGCCACTGCCCAGGGTTCACCCACGAACAACTGCAGCAAGCTGTGTAAAATGACTCTGGTGTTCCCCTGCGGCGGGCGCTGGGATTTTGGGGAGCAGCAGCGTTATCTGGAAGGGGGAGCGGCACAGCATCCACGGGCACCTACGCTCTGCAGGCAGTCCTGGCACTCCAGCATCTCCACGCTGCAGGTGCTGATGCGGTTGCTGAGCTTCTTCAAATGCTTCTTTATCTCACAGACCTTCCTAGAAAGAAAAACAGAATTCCCAGTTAATCCTCAGTGGATCTTTATAATTTTATTATTTTTTTTCTAACGTTGCATTGCTTTCCAAAGGTTGCAAACCTTTCTGGTTCAAAGTTAAAATCCTGAAGGAAAGCAAACGTGTCACAACAGCGTTCTAATGACAGCTGCAGCTCTGCTAATGGCCACTGTAGGCAGGGTTATCCAAACAGCACTAATGGCAAATTAATTAGGAAAAGTGCGGCACAGCCCAGGCCCATCACAGGGGCCCAGGCTCTGTCCCTGCCAGGGCCAGGGGCCCGGGGCGGAGGTGTCACACACCCGCAGGCGCCCTCAGTTGTACAAAAAAAGGTTTGGTTTGGCTTTAAAACAATAAAAGGGAAAGAATATTTAAGGTGAATGGTCCACCTCCAGTCTCCAGAAAAACAACCATCACACCACAAAGCCTGGCTGCCTGCAGGAAGAAGCTCAAAACAGGACAACTAAAACTGAAGTAACAATAAATTAAAAATACCCAGCTGTGACTCACGGTGCCTTCTCCCTAAGGACAGAAAAACAGCTACAAAAATACTCCAGAAAAACACAAAGCAGCTTTTCTCCTCCCCGTGAGCAGAGGTGAGAGCCGTGCTGTGGTGCAGATGGGGCCCTGTGCTGCGTGGATTTGGGGGGGGTCTGCACTGGGGGGAATCTCACCCCCAGACAAAATCCCCGCTGGAGCCCAGGGAAGGTGTCACTGCCCCGCGAGGGGACACGGCGAGAGGCGCCTGCGGGCACCAGCGCCTGTCCCTGAAGGAAAACCTGCCCCGGGTGGGGGTCTGCAGCGAGGGCACCCCCGGCTGCACGGGGTGAGGCTGGAAATGGGGCAGGGCAGGGACAGGGACAGGACAGACACTGCCTGCTGCCCCTGAGCACCCGAGACAAACTTCAAGCCTAAAAATCCTCCCCTTAGCAAATCCTATGCAGGGCTACTCCACATCAGAAATAGGGGCCAGGTCAGAAGCTGGGTTTTATTCCAAGGCATTACAGAAAATCACTCGCACCGGCAGCCCAGGGGAGCGGATGCTGCTCTCTAAAAGCAACCTTGCAATAAAAATCCAGTTTCTGCAGCATCCTCCTCCCCTCGCCCTGGCTCTTTGCTGCCGTGATGGGCAGGGACTGTGCTCTGTCACTGTGAGGCAATTTGCTCTTTGCATTATTCCCCAAACACCATTTACCAGAAAATCAGTCCTAATAAGTAGATCTCTTTGTCTCAATAGCAATTTTGTCCTGATAAAATAACCTCTCCCCATCTGAGCATGAGGAAAGCGGCTGCTTGAACTCAAGCTGTGAGTTTAGGGGCAGAAATACATGGCAAGGGATGAGAACCAGCGTACAGGGTGGGATTTTGAGCAGCCAGAAAAAGCACAAAAGCCCCAAAACCCCGGGAGGGGCTGTCAGGGCTGGTACCTCATCCTGCTGCCGTGCAGGGCCAGGGCCTCCTGGTACCGCTGGACACACTCGTCCTGGAAAATCGACAGCACCTTCCTGGCCAGGTGCCCTAAATTCACCCTAAAACCAGAACACAAGAGAGAGGACACTTATTTCCTTAAATGTATGAAAATGAACACGTGTTTACATGGCAGGAGACCTAAAGCTGGCTCCCGAATGGAGAAAGAGCAACTGGATGCTCAGTAATGGTTTTTGCATCAATGTTAGAGGAAAACCCCCAAAACTTTATTATGATGAAGAGGAGAAGGAGGTTTTGGGGACCAGGGGGAATGCAGCTCAGGTTGCCATCCCCGTCCCGGGGCACTTCTGAGAAGTCTTTGTCTTGGAGTTTAAAGCAAATGTCCAAGGTTAGACTGAAGATTAATTAAAATAAAGGAGCTGCCTGTTAAATTTCACCATCCCTGGTACTTACTGAAGTGTGCATTTTATTTCTTGCCAGAGTTAAATTCCCCTGGTTTCAGTGGAAACCAAAAGGAGGAGTTGTACAAAAGCCATCAGACACTGGAAGTTAAGCAGATATCAAAGCGCGGACACTTCCTAAAACAGCATCTCCTGAGTAAATGGCCCCAAAGTGAGTGAGCACCGATGTGTGCACCCGCACAGCCCCATGGGGTGGATCTGTCCCTGGGTCTGCAGGGGTTCTCTCACACCTTCATCTGAAATAGCCTTAAAAACGGTGAAAGGTCCCGCATCCATGAACCAGCACAGAAGCCGCTTACAGGTGCCCTCTCCCAGTATCAGACCCAGGAACCAGTTACACGCCCTTAGGATCCAGTCAGGTCCTGGGAAGGGGAGAGGGGCTGGGACTTACTTGTCCAGTTTGTGTATTTGCTCCTCGTTGTAGCCCAGCCCTGGGGAGGAAAGACACCGGTCACCACATTTTCCTGTTCAAAACCCAACAAATGGGCAATTTCCCAGCACACAGAGAATGCTCAAGGGACCCCAGGACTATGTTCATGGCACAGAAATAACTGTGGAACCCAGCAAACCGAAATAATGCGCTTTTCCACTGGGTCAGTGCAGGGACATCCCTGGTGCTGTCTCCATCACTTACTCAGACATGTCCTGGCCTTCTTGAACTGCTTGTGGATCAGCTGCATCTTCTCCACGCAGCACTCGATCTGCCGGATGCTGAAATCGGGATGGGGAAGGAGGTGTGAAGAAAGGTACAAATTTGGGGTGAAATCAGCACTTTGGGGTGAAATCCGCACATGCTGTAACTGGTGGACACCGCTGCCACCCGTGTCTGTGTACAGGGACATTGGGCAATATTAAACACGTTAAAAGCTGTTTGCAACGAGGGGCTGTGACGGGAGCCGGCAGCGCTGTCTGCTCAGCCCAGCAAAGCGGTGGCGCAGATTTCGGTGAAGCTACAAACCTTTTGTCTTCGAGCACTTGCTGCCTGTCCTTCACCAGCTCAGACAAAATGCCGTCCAGTGCCCCTTGGATGTCAAAGATGCTGTGGGAGCACTGGGAGAGCTCCTCAGCGACCTGCGGATGGGGAGGAGGGGTTGGGACCGGCTGCTCCAGAGGCTGCGGATGCTCCCGGCCCTGCACGGAGCTGATGCCGGGGCTCACCCTTTGCAGCTTTGTCTTCACCGTGGCCACGTCCTTCAGTGCTGGTGTCCCGCTGCCGGCAGGAACAGCCTCGTGCCTGAAGAAAGTCAGAACATTAACATTTCGTGCTGGCCTGGGCGCTGGGTCCAGCCCAGGAGGGAGGGATCAGGCAGCAGCATCGGGCTGAAGCCAATGGGAACCGTGCATCCCGATCATTTCGGATGAAATGGAAATTAAGAGACTTGTTACATTGAACTGCAACCCAGCAGCAAAGCGTTTTCTGCTACAGCAACAAAAAAAAAACAGAAAAGCAAAATAACCGTGGGTTACTTCAGATAGAACGGGTTCAGCTTTCCCTGGGGCAGCATGGGTTGGGACGGGTGCATGGGTTGTGGTGAGGATGCCCAGGTTTTCTCCATAACTCAGCCTCTGATGAAAGCTCCATTGCAGCGTGAGGGGCTGCCAGCCGCCCTCCCTGCCCAGTTCCTGAATTTTACTTATTTCTGATTTTCCAGGCCCCTTTGAGAGGCCCCTATCTTATCTGCAGCAACCTCAGGGCAGTGCCGGTTCCCAGCGCCCACATCCCAGGGCTGTAAAGCTGCACTTACAGCACGCAGGTCTTCACCTCAGTGAGCTGCAGGCAGGAAAGCACCGAGAACGCCCCTCGTCTCTGCTCCAAAATCCGTGAGCACTCAGTTTTCAGGTTCCCGCTGTCAAGAGAGAAAACGGCCGGTCCAAAACGCGCCCAACATCCATCCGTTTCTGTGGGGGGCTCAGGATGGAGCTGGCGGCTCCTCTCTGGCTGCTCCTGAGCAAATGGGGGCGTCGATGTGTGTAAAAGTGGGTGCAGGTCCTGGGCAGGGGGTGGGCACTGAACTGCCCCTGCACAGGAACCTCCTGCCCCAAAGGAATGGGTAGGACGGAGAAAATGCACAATGATAATATTAATAGTAATAGTAGCTCCCTGCCAGCCCATGGCTGTCCCGTGCTCTGGAGGTGTCTGGAAAACCCTGAGC